AATCACAGTACGCATGAATTACATCATGGTTTATGCGTACGTACAATTCAGACAAACAATGGCAAACCTGTATGGTATCTAGGTCGTTTTGTCAGCCCATTGGATACAGCGTTTTTAATAATTCTATGCCTAGGAAACGACGCCAACTTGTTAGGAGGTAAAAGTGGGACTTTTACATTAATTTCGTCTACTGAAGTGTGAATCAAACCTCAATTCTGGTAAGTTGTTTTGGATCCGACACGATCGCTTGCTAGGCCAACCGTACTGGGGAGTTTTCAAACGTCTCTGAAACCACGACCGCGTTGTCTTGTGTCCTTAGTCCACGCTGTTCCCTCACTAAGGGGGTGTGGGTTTGTCTCTTAGTGACAGGATAACGCTACAGCCGAATAACCGAGAATATTCGATGAGGACTTTCCTCGAAGTTGGTTGAAATTACAGAGCCACTTGTAATGTACTACTCGTAAGCTTGCTGAAAATCCATCGACAGCCCACGACCGGTTTCGTCCTTCTTGGGGCTCATCAGGTAGGCGCAGTCCCTGGGTTTCCGTCAACCTTATATTCTATTTGAAACCAAATTGCACGAAATTGGCGAATATATACTCAGCTGCAAACTAATTTGGTTAGTAGTACATTTGGTGAGTAGTACATTACAAATAAACATGTATGGCGATATTTCAAATATCGTAGCGACTGAAACATGAGGCGGCCTGGTGCGGCACATTCAGTTGCCTGAGAACATCATAAACGAGAGATTTAGCTGGGTTCCAGGTGAGTCTCTCGAAAGAACCGAATTAGTTTACAGATGAGTGTATATTCGCTAATTACAGAGCCACTTCTTTTTAGGAGGTCACCTTAACATGACATCTAAGTTCCCACACACTCATATGACACACGTCCAAGTCGAATTAAGCGTTTTTTTTATAAAAAATCTATTCGTCAATCGGTCGTAGTTGTTGGATGAAAAAAATAAAAATACAAAAATCACCAGATGGCATTTAGTGTCACGAAAGTTGTTCACAGCAAATTCGCGAACGTGAATTAAATTACCAAGGTCTATCTGAAATTGAGATTTATGGTGCTACTCGGTCGGGTACAGCTCTCATCAAGTTTCAAACGCGGAACTGATTTATGGTCGAACAGGTTATGCTCCGCTGAGTTGAACACACACGGCGGGTAAGAATGAGTCGTGCGGGAGGAACATCTATTCCCTGCAGCCATGACATGTAATGAAACACAGGAGGTAAAGTTGGATTCCTAAGTTCCTATTATCATATTCTCTCATAGCTGTTTACTATCGTATACTATTTCGAGGCATTCGCTAACTTCTACATGTAATAAATTTCATCATGGATTTGTGAACCGATATGGCGACTCACTAGTTGGGCTGTTTGATGAGACTACTATCTGCATCGTGTCAAAGAACTGAATACTTCCCTCGACATATGACATTTTCAGTCGTGAACAATTGTCCTGTCATAGTTGGACTTTGTCAAGAAGTACATTGGAATGCTTTTTTGTTGACAGATAGTTGTAGCCACTAATAATCTCCTAATTAGTTGTGTCAATCATGGTAGTCAATTCATGCACAAGCCTTGATCATGTGAATGATTGGCTGGTTTGTCACGTGATCTATGCAGGAACATATGACTACTCCATAAAAGCAAGGCCTAGCGGCTCAGAAGGGGTTCCAGAGAAGTCTGTCACGAAAAGTTGTATGAAAAAGACAGGTCTGATACGTTTTATAATGCTAAGTTTACGTATTTACCTTATGAATGACGAATTGTACAAATGCCACGTGGAATAAATTCACCCCATTGTTTCAGACTATTTTATCGCTTGCTTAAACAATCCGTCTTTCATTAATTTATGCGCTTTAATCATTTAACCCGTTTTTTGGCTTGTGCACAAATGCCGTTTGAATGCGCGCGCTTCCTGGCTTGCGCACAACTAACCAATCAGAATGCTGGCTTGTGCATGAAGCGCATGCCGCTAATCTCTGAGTTCGGGTTGGTCTGGGTGAACTCATTCGCGTTACCCTATAGGTTATATGTGCAGCGTTAAGCTGTAGAACAGTTGGTTATGAAAATAATACTTAATAGAGGAAAGTGTCGCACTGATAGAACCGAATTAGCACGATCGTAACACAAATGTTCCACACTTGACAAACTAAAATGCAATTTTCAGTATTTGTTGCAAAACGCTAGTGAGCCTTTCTAATTCGATTGAAATTGTCGCCTAGCACTTATGCCACTCAGACCATTTCGTCAAGAGGAGCCCTCAAGATTTCCGGCAGTGAGCCTGGGATTAGTTCTTTACAAACGAGTATTTTCACGCTTAACCGAACGCTAATTGCGGGAAACTGTTCGAGCAAGGTACGATACAGTATTCTTCCGCTTAAAGATTTCTCTCATAGCAGACAGCTTATGGTAGTACTCTCTCGTAGTGAGCAGATTTTCACTACCGAACTGCACTTTTGTGCTGCACTGTTCTACCAACCTCTACAATAGAAAATGCAATTCTTGTGGACGCTGAGTTGTTCGCTGAGCTGAGCAATCGAGATGACAACATCAATGCGTTATTAGGGGACATGGTCGAGCGTAGCGATCGGTCGTTTTCGATCATTGTCGGTGTAGTCGGACTTCGTCACTGGGTTTTATACATTCGGATTAACCAAGACTGGTGTTTGATTGACTTAAAACATTGTCAGTCATCACCCGAACCAAGCACAATCTGATGTTTATTGTGGAGATTTCGTCCTGCAAGTGGAACCAGTCTATGCTGAAAAGCCGAGAAGCACTGTACAGATGTTTCATCCTTATTGGGGATCAACAGCAGTGCGCATCTCACGAAAGTCCGAAGAGTCTCGAACCCGCGACTCCTAGTCAGTAGTTCGGACACTTAACCTTTCGACCACGAGTGACCGATCACCAGTGTGATTCACTCGCACTTAGACAGGATATGGCGCCGCTCGTCCTTCAATCACGGGGTCCACATCACGCGGTCACATGTGTTGACTAGCTCCTCAAGCAACGACTTCTCTGGCGGTGTAGTCGGACTTCGTCACTGGACTTTATACGTTCGGATTAACCAAGACTGGTGTCTGATTCACTTGGAACATTGTCAGTCATGGCCCGAACCAAGCAATATCTGATGTTCATCCTGGAATCAAACACAGTTTACTCAAAATTCAGTGACGAGGTAAAAATTTGAGTGTTGTCCAACTGTTGCTGCTACCAGTGGAATAATGGAAATTACCGTGGTAGTACTGAAATACTCTTTGCACTCAGACGTTACCTTAGCGCTCCCGTCTAATTTTTTGAGACGCTTCCAATGGTCGTCGGTTTGTTCACTGTGCTGGAAAATTCGATTTCAGGGGTTTTGGTTGCGCCACAACCACCGACCCATTGCTAAGCTCTACCACGCTCCCTAACAACGAACTGGTAATGTTATCTCGATTGGCGATGAAACGTTTGCAAACAAATAAACGATCCCCTAAATGGCGTACGACTGCCTATTTTTGACTCGCGAAAATTCTGCTGTCTTAACACTAAAGGCCGACCAGCATTTAGTGTACAGACGTGGATGTACTTTCTTGCCAATTCCTTATTGATTCAACCTAACGTATATGTGTTCACAAACACACAGCCCGACATGTTTTCAAACACACAGACGGGCAGGGTGTTAATACATGAGTACATTACTTGAAAACCTTAAACAAGAAGAAAGAAGTTCGTGGCATGTTGGACGGGTGTGTGAGAACGAATCAGTACTTTGTGAGCTCAGCTCATGCAAAACGAAATCATACTTACCGGACCATTTAGGGATGGAACAGATGAATTTGCACTTTATCGTCTGCTATCATCATTCCCATACTCTGGTCGACCGATGTATGGACAAGTTTGAGTCCATCAACGATGCACACACAACAAAGTGATGTCAGTTGCTAAGTAACTAGTATCATGATAAACAGTGGAGCCACATTAGGATAGCCAAATTAACTTCTGTCGCAGTGTAACTTTTCCTTGATCAAATGCCAAATAAATGATCGGTTGCATGTCAAAATATATCGGAAACGGTTCTATGAAATTCCAGTTCGCTCTTCTGGCTTTAGTTTCTTGTCTTGATTGCTAGTACCTACCCAGGGAAACGTCAGAAGAGAAACAGCTTCTCAGGTGCTTATCCCACAGTTTTAGGGTAAGAATTTGCCATTTCTAAAGATGTTTCAATCTTTACTGCGATAATACTCCTTCTAGCAGAGTCGTTCAACGAGGAATTGAGTAGCACGAAGCGCTGAGAACAAGGTAGAAAAAACCCAGAATAATCAAAGGGTAGGTGATATCTGTCACGGTAGAACAACAACAGTCCCCGGGGATTTTCCAATCGAATGCCGAATGAAAACACAAGTGTTGCGAGTTAGATTTGTTGCAAACAGCACGTGAAAATGGCTTAAAGCGACGAAAGCATCAACCAATTTGGTTGACCAAGCAAAACGCTCGACCCGCAGCAAAAATAGGGATGTACGGACGTGAGGAAATTGTGAATAAAAACAAAACTGGAACAGGGTTTAAAGTAGGACGGAAGGACTTTGGGCTCTTAGAATATGGATTCAAAAGCAGTTAGCGTCACAGCCAGCTGCCAGAGGTTTTTTGCCTTCAAATATAGCTAATTAGATACCTGAGGAAGACATATTCCAAGCGACATTTTACAGACTGTTCAACTTACAGCCAGGCGTACGCTAATCATTCCTAGGTGCGTGATGCTTATCACAGGTTTCCAGGAGGTATTGGTTGGTGTAAAATTCACCAAACATTTTTACAACCATTGGTTAATCGGTTACAAAAAGCATAAAGTCAAAAGAAGCTAACACTTATTTTCATGAAGGAAACTTCTCACTAGGTTGAACCCAAATAGGACCGTTTTCGAGAAATACGCTCATTTGCAAATGAATTTTGGTTCAAGTAGAACATAAGGTTGACGGGAACTCGGGGACCGCGCCTACCTGATGAGCTCCAACAAGGGCGAAACCGGTTGTGGGCTCTCGAAGAGTTTCCAGCAACTTTGTGAGTAGTTTTCTTCATGAAAATATACTGCGATATCTCGAATATCATGCCAACTGAAACATGAAGCGACCTGTCTGCAGCCCATTCAGTTGTAGAATATCGTAAACGAGAGATTCAATTGAGTCTCTCGTGAATACCAAATTGATTTTCACAAATCAGTTTTGTTCTCTTCGAGGGGGTCGACTGGGTTGTACGCTTCTTTTGGCTTTATTGTGTAGTGAAAAAATGGAGCCATTTCTTGGATGAAGGCCACGCACTGGCTTGGTGGTGCCAAATACAAAGAATGAAGAACCGTTTGGACTCGTACTATTTAATCGAATTAACATGTGCCTTGTGAAATAGCCAAACCATCGCCAGTTTCGAATACAGTGCAGTGACCTTCTCACTTATTCTTCAAAGAACGAACCCACCTTACTAAAATGAAAAAAATCGTTCAGCTGTAACACGCTTCTGGCGCCTAGCTGCCGTGCCACCGGAAAGAAGCACGAGGGCTGGGATACTGCCAGGTTGGACAACACTAGACAGGGGAAGTTGAGAGGCAGATGTCGAACCACGGACCATCCGGTCAGTAAATTTTCGCTTTAACCACTGAGTCATCTCACTCCCTAACTCAAATGGATGAAGCAATAAAAAGTTGAAAGTTCTCCTCTACTTACACTATAGAGATAACATATCAGTAAAGTATGTCTCACCACAACCACTCAAAGAAAGGTGAACGTATGGTAGCTTTGTGGTACGCTTTAAAAGTTACTGTTGCAATTGAACAACTAACTTCTAAGGGGGCAGGTAGTCACCACTTTGCCCTTAAGCATTTGAAAGTACCTTTAAAAACACAATACTCTCCAGGGAATGGCCACCGCGAGAAATGACACAAAATTTTAATGGGATGCAGTCACGTTATGGAGTCTAGAGGTGAGAGATGTCTTTTCAAGTTGGACTCTTCCATTGTACAACCTTATTAATGGCATAGTGGAAGGTTGCCTCGCAGAATATTTATTCCTCCGGATTTGTTCTGAACTTGAGAATTAACAATTCCGTTTTCAACCACCAGCTATATACCGGCGTAGTACACTACTCAAAAGGTTGCTGAATACTCTTGAACGGGTTACAACCAGTTTCGTCTTTCTTCGGGCTCATCAGGTTTGAAGTTGTTGAAGGGTTTTCAGAAACCTAATTGGAAGTGTACTGTGTTGTGACATCTGTGGTGCAGCAGATTTCGTTGGAGAAGAACACCATGAAAGAGAGACTCAGCTGGGATTCAGGGAAGTTCCCCCTTGAAAACCATGTCGGGATGGGGATGAGTGTATTCTTC